GGCATCGCCCGCCCCGCTTCGGCGCCCGGGGCGCAAAGCAGGGGCGCAAACTCTGCCCGAGGTGGCGACGGCTGCGGTCAGGGTTCACCCAGGAGCGACTAGGTTTCCGCGGCGGCCCAGCTGCCAGGACCCCTCCCCTCCCTGGGGTGCACCCCCAGTCCAAGACGACCCTCTTGGGTGCTGAGTCGGCGACTGGAGTAAGGGTTTCTCCGAAGCCAGCGAGCCGAGCCGAGCCACCGGGAGAATTGAAGAGGAGGAGGAGGAAGAGGAGGAGGAGGCGGAGGAGGAGGTGGAGGAGGAGAAAAAGGAGGAGGAGCAGAGTGGGAGGAGGAGCCGCCGGCCGCGGGCCCAGCCGCGCGCAATACTCTCCAAGAGCGCGCCTAGCCCAGCCCCGACTCTGCAGTCCGCGCCAGCGCAAGCCTCCGCGCCTTTTCTACAGCCGCGCCTGACATCACGTCCTGCCGCCGCGCCATTGGCCGCCCGGCGCCCCAGGCCCTGGCAGTGCGTGCTTTGGGAAGGCGGGAGACCCGAGAGGGAGGGGAGAGGGTAGAGGAGGAGAGGAGAGCCGAGATGGTGGGAGCTGGTGGGCGAGGCTGGAGGGAGGCGGCGGGAGGGAGGGAGGAGAGAGAGCGCGGGTTTGGAGTTTTTAAGCTATGAACAATTTCACGCAGTATCTTCGGAAAGGAAAACCAAACCCTCTCTCTCCTAAGAAGACAGCCAGAGGATGCTTGAGGAGGTTTCACTGCGGTCTCCCCTCGGCCCGGAGCCGCGGCCTCCGGCACCCGCTGGGGAGGCGCGAGAAGGCAGGCCTGGGGCAGAGTTCCTAGAGCCGTTGGCCGCTTGCCGTCGAGCTCCGCCTTCGGCCCGGGCTCTGCACCGCGGGCAGCGGGCGGCCGCGCAGGCCTCCTGGGGACCCAGCTGAGCCTGAGAGGCGAGACTTGCGAGAGCTGTGACTCCCGGGGAGGGAGGCCAGCCAGCACATCCTCGCTCCGAGAGAGCTAGGGCCCACTCCACAGCAGCTGGTAACTCCTCACTCTTCCCGGTCTCTCTCCAACCTGGAAGAGTGGGGTCAAGCTTGGCTTTAGGAACTCGGAAAGGCCAGGGTTCGAATCCTAGCTCTGCCATTGACATGCAGTGTAACCTTAGAAAGGGACTTAACCTCCCTTAATCTGTTTCTGGTCTTTTCAGACCAGAAACAGTCCCGTCCGCATGGGTGTGGTGTACGAAAGAGATCATGAATGTAAAACGCCTGGAGCATAGTAGGCACTAGGCAGATTCTCTAATCACCCCCCATTTCCCCTCTTCCATTAAAAACTTTCTCACTCCGAGATACACCTGGCATCAGTGAGGTTCTTAAAAAACACAGGTCCCATTCTCTGCCCACAGGGCGCGCCATGCCACAGACCTGGATGTTGTCCTGAGTCCACCCTGCCCACCTGCTGCACTCACCATCCCCCAAGGACCAACAACCCAGCCTGCCATGTAGATCACAACTGCCACCCTCAGCCTCCAGACTCCAGGCTCTATCTAGAGTCTCTTGGGGACCAGAGGGCAACACCCAGGTGTCTGGTGGAGAACGATTTAGGAAATAAAAAGTGATTGTAGAGAAAAATTGAATGAGAAAGTCAGCTGCACAGTCCCATCTCCTGGGTTCCCTTGGGAGGCAGGTTTAACTCCATTTAATAGAGTGAGGGGGTGTCCGTTTGAAGTGACCTGCTTGCCAGGACACAGCAGGGAGATAGCCAGGACTCCGCCATTTGTTTTACAGGGCGCAGAGTTGAGGCAGCACAAAATCACACATTCCACGTGCATACATAACTTTCACACATAAATATATGTATGCCTGGACTGCCCTAGCACATGCACACGTGTTCATCTCCGCTGGCAAAAACACAATCAGCACGAATTTATCTCTGTTGGCATAGCCACGGTCAGCGCCAATATAGAACCAGGATCTACACGTGGGCATCAGGCATAAGTGTCCTGTGCAGAGAAAGAGGATGCCTCTATAAAGCCGTAAGTTGCACTGTTATACCTACACTTGCGTCTCAGGCAATTCTGCTTAAATCACTGCGTCCGCTTCTACGAAACCATGTTTTGCATATTTTTTTAAAAAACACACTCGAAGTTATGAGCATGTGTGTACACGCTGCACGTGCACAGATGCCCCAACGCGAGGAAAAGACCATAAACCCAAAGCCGCGCGTGCGCGTGTGTTCACACAGACGTGTGCTCTGGCGCCTGCACACGGCCGGCGCCCAGGCACGCGGATGCCTCCACGAATACACAGGCATGTTGTACTGACGCATCTGGGGCACTTTCTTTCAAAGAAAGTAGGGAATGAAAATCTAATCTGAGAGTCACCAGGGTTCATCTGGAGGTCGCCCAAGGGGTAGAAAAAAAATTGTAACGACGCCGGAGTGTTTGTCCTTGGTGTAGCTCCGCTCCCGGGCTGGCCGGGTACAATATGTTTCGAAAGCTCGAGGGGCTGCCGTGGGATGGGAAGAGGTATGCCGTGACTCTTGCCGCGGGCTTCTCGGGAAACGTGGAAACACACCCTGCGGCTCTTCACTCCCCCATGCAAAAAAGATTCATCGCCACCTCTCTAACCAGCAGCCCAATCCGCCGCTGGACCGACCCCAAACTCCCCGGCAGCCAGGATTCCCGCCCGGTGCGCTAGTCTGTTGATCCCTCTGCGCCGGGCTGGGGCGCGCACGGGTCTGTAAGAGACTCAAGCGCATCTCCCGCCGCGGGGCGGGATCCGCGCGCCAGGCACCCGGGTTCAGAGGCCGGTAACTTTGCTAATCTCCCCCAGCGGCGGGGGCCGCCCCATGCAACCGCTGAGCCCTGTCCGCGGAGACTAAACAAGGAGAGGAATGGGCTGTAAACACACATCCTGACACGTGAGTGACATTTACACGGTGCAAGAAGCCGCGACCGAGGGAAAGGCAGAGGGTGGGGGGAGAAGGCACCAACAGGTAAAGGGAGCATTCGCAGGTGCCGGAAACGACGGCCCTTCGCCCCCCCCCCCGAAGGGAAAAGAATCCCCGAGTCCCCCTGAACCTGCCTTTTGTGGGAGGTGACAGGTGAACGGAATTCGGGTCTGGCCACTCGCGCCGCTGCCCACCTCCCCACCATCTGCTTCCTCGCAGACAAGCAGACCCGGCGCATAATGAGGCAGCAGCCTCCAGCCGGCCACCGTGACTAACTCAGAACAAAAGCGCTCCCTCCACGCTTCCTCCAACAAAGGGGCCACCAGCCCCGGCGCTCCCCGAAGGCTGCGGGGCTCCCGGCTGCCGGCTGCGGGGCCGCCGCGCGCAAACTTCCCGGGGCTCCCGGGGCTGCCGGCGCCGCCGAGCCGGGCCCGCGGAGGGAGGAAGCGCTCGCCGCCCGGAGAAAGTGAGGCCGGGCCGGGCGGGGGAGAGGGGAGGGAGCGGGGGATCCGCGGAAGGAGGGTGATTGATCAGTGCGCCGTTCCCGGCACTCTGTCCCGTTATTAGAGGCGGCCAAAGCAGGGCCACGCAATAACCTCAGAATCGCCAACTAATTGACGCTGCAGGCAACTACTTCATTGTGCGCGCTGGTTTTATGTCTTCATAGCCGGTGATTGACAAGGTGTAATTAGTCATCTCACTCGGTGATAAACATGGGCACCCTCCTCCCGCGGCATCAGGCCGTGTGTACCAGCAGAGGAAGCGATAGTTGACGCTGATATACCATTAAATCAAAATGAAGACGTTCAGAAGTGTGTGTTTGCTGTGACGCTCTGATGGTTTATTTCTCAAATACGGCACCAACAGATTTACTTGATTTGCAAGTTAACTACAACATTAACTGGTTTTATTTATTTTGCCTCTTCCTTCCTCTTCCTAGGCAGGGATGTTGCTCTTGGAGAATGTGAAGACAGTTTGCTTCTTGACAAGCGAGCGAGCGGGCGCCCAGATTTTTGCAGCCTTTCCGAGTCTACCCCGAGGGAAAGGCGCGCAGAGAAAACGCCGGATTTGGGAGCCACCCGGGAAGGATTCCGCACGGAGGAGTCGCCCTCCTTGGCCCCAAACCCGTCTGCCTGGGGGCCCCCCTTCGGGCACTGCCAGAGGATGACCTGAAACTCTGAGGATGGAGCTGGACTGGGGTTGGGGGAAGCTTCCTGAATGATAACTGCGAAGAAAAAAGAGGCAAAACAACGGCCCCCCCCCATCCCCAAGCAAAAAGGACGGTGTTCTTAGAGCTGTAGGCTGCCGTCACAGGGTCAGTTGCCTGCCTCTATTCCCGGAGAAAGTGCAACATCTTCTATCCTCCTAGCGTGCTTGCACCATTCAGCAAATTATACTCCTTGCTCACCAAAGTGGGTCTTGCTCAGGGAAGTGTGTGTGTGTGTGTGTGTGTGTGTGTGTGCGCGCGCGCGCACGCGCATGTGCGCGTGCTTCCTCAATACTAGGACTGCAGTTAGAGATGCTGGTTACTTCTTTCAGAAATCTGGAGGTTTTAAATTTTTTAAGGGAGTGGACACCCCTGGTCTGTCTTGGCTCTGGTTCTGGTTAGAGAGTGTGGCAGGGGTTGAACAACGCCACCAGCATTTGAAAATCCATTTTCAGGGTATCATGCATGCCCCCACAACACCCCCAAGTGGGATATGCTTCCTGCACGTGTCCCATCTCTCTAACCTGTTTCCTGTCTGTATAGCACTGGAGTGGTGATTCCTTGCCACTGCACAGGAATCTGGGGTTATGGTCATCTCCAAGAAAAGAGAGGGGTGAGGCTGAGTCACAGGGATAGCAGAAAAAGCTCTATATCTTCAATGGGGACTCCCCCGTTCCCAGGCTGATGGGCCTTATTCAGCAAAAGGAGAGGTGTTTTATATGGATGTGAAAGGCTATCACTCAGTAGCAAAACAGCTTAGGCATAGCTGTCTCTTCCTTTATGAAATCAGCTCTTTGCCTTGGTCACACCATACAGAAAATCTACTGATCACCACTATCGACAATAAAAATTAGTGGGGCCTTAGTTGTTTCGAAGAGGAGCCCCATGTCTGTGACACTAGAATAGATAAGTGGCTTGGCCCATGGCAGGCAGAGAGGAGACCAATTCCTCCTCCTCTTCTCCCTGCAGTGATCTGAACAATTCCGAAACTGCCTCCCCGGGCGTCAGCTGAGCAGGTTGGGGAACTAACCAGGGCTCTCTCTCTAGGGCCCTGTTAAATGTACTGAACTTAAAATGAAACACGAAGTGTGAATTTCAGGTTTGAACGTGATGCATCAGGAAACGTGGAGGTTGGCAGCCTCATTCCTCCCTCCTGCTTTTCGGTAGCAGGTATTAATATTGTATTAAATGTTATGAGAAAGTAAGGGCTGCGCAGAGGAATGTGCTCAGATGCAATTTTGTCAAGGTTTTTATCTGTGATTATGATTCCAGATGTAGATACTCCCGGAGGAGGAAAATGAGGGGCTGCTGGCGTGTGACATGTGTTTTAAGGTGTTTGGCAGTGTTTCTCAAAGTGGTGACAAAATGTTCAATTTTATTACAGGGAATTGGTAAAAGAAATATGAATACTAGGTCAGAGAGTGTTCACCTCAGCAAAAGGATTTACCATTATTGATTAGGGTGGGGAAAGTTTTTCTCTGGGCCCTGCTTAAATCACATTGTCAACAATATAAATCTGTCAGATCAGATTATTCTTAAAGAACAATTGTAACAAAATACACAATAGCTAATTGCACCCCCCACCCACAGCTAATTTCCATGCTAAGATGTAAACTGCCCTGGAAGAAAAAAAAGATGTTATTTCCTCCCCATTTGGTATAAAACCACAGCCATTTCTTGAGAGTAATTTCTTTTTAATCTAGCCCAGAATAATATCCAGCCCTGGAAGGGCCATTTTGCTAACTTGGCTGCTCTGCAAACCTTTCAGGTTGAAGCACCAAAAAACGGCAGTACACTTTCTCACACAGAGAAACACATTTTTCTTAAAGGAGAATCAGAAAGATTTTGTATGAAAAAAGTGGGGACAGGGGTTAGGGAGGAAGTTGATGAACTCTTGACTAGCTGACAACTCTTATATCTCCAAGCACTTGAGACTGGAAATTTTCCCTATCACAGCCCTTCTTCATTCAAAGGCATCTCTGCCATCCCTTTCTGACAGCAGGGCACCCCTAAATTACATTTCTAAGCACAGTTTTCCTCATAAACCTTTTATGAGCTTCATATACACTAACATTAATCGACTTGAGTGCCCAGCCAGCACTGAGTAGACAGGAGGTGGATTTGGTAAACACTTCCACAGAACAAAAAGGGGTTTTGGGCTAAAGATGCTAGACTTTGCTCCCTCTGGTTCCCAGTCAGAGGATGAGGGTCTCTATCCACTCGCTGGAGCCATTGACTTACAGATCACCCCATATCTGACATAGTCTTTCAGTCCCAGCCTTTCCCTAATCCAGGCTAAAGAATGTTGATTTTGGCTTCCCTGCCGCTGGCACTATTTTACCATCACAAAGCATACTAGACTCACAGCACAAATTGCACCTTCCGAGGAAGTAAGACAGTCCCTCTCCTAGGAGGTGACATAGAATGTGGTACTTTTTTGAGGGGAACAGTGAGGTTGCAGGGGAGGAAAAATGCCCATCGGGGCCACCATCTCTCTCTCTCTGAGCTTTCAGCAAGACCCTTCCCCTACCATAGTCCAACTTTTCACTGGTCTGATTAACAAATCTCTACTGCTATTTGGGAAGTTGGCATTGTCGCTTTAGGTGAGGAATGAGTCATTTCCCACAAATGCTCCAGCTGAAGCCCAGTCCCCTGGCACCCCTCCCCAACATTTTTATTCTTCCATTAATTAAAACAACTAACGTCTCATCGATTATCTTTGCATGAATGAAAATCATTACAAGCCCTTGCAGGTATATGGGAAATTCTGTTTGCTTAAGTATTCACACTTTGATTTCCTATAGACTCATTTTCTCAGGCATAAATAAATTCAAACAAAACAAAACAAAAACAAAAACAAAATCTCCTGACACTTTACAATAAAACATGAAGACCAGTTGTAATGAGTTTGTGCCAATCTCTTGTAGGAAGAAATGTTCAGATGGTCCTTCTTTAGGGGTGGATTTTACTAAAGGATTCTAGATGGTTAAGGCAAATACTGATAGGTCACCAGACAGGCTCTGAATTTGTGCTTGTGATGAGTCAGATGAGCTCATCCAAATTTACTTTTAGGCTACCGTGTCAGCCCTTGAAAGTAAAAAAGGCAGGGGACAATCAACACTATTTGGAATTTCCCAGCTAGTTGGCCATTTCAGCTTGCATCTCCATTTCTGGGGGCTGCCATAATTAGAGCGATCTATTTTGCATTTACTTCTCTTTGCAAGTACTACATTATTCACTCTTTCCTGTGCTTATTAAACAGTGCCACCTGCACCAAATTCAACAAAGCTCCTCCATCAGTCGGGCCCAGCTAAGGATCCAGGCCATATATTATCATTAATTGAAGCTCAATTGACTCATTGACGATAGAGGCCTGAGCAAAAGCAACACATTTTCTAGGACCTGTTTATAAAAATGTTTTAAGAAAAAAATGTTATTCCCCAAATTGTCATTTTTTACAAACTCATTTCCTTCTCTCTGTACAGCAATTCAAGCAGCAATTAGCAAGTCTTTTAATTAATGAACTATTCCCTGTGTGTCACCAAGGTGCCTCCAGCACAAATGTCCTTCTTCATAGGTACTAGCAGATACAGTCAATATTTTGTCACCCAGAGCCTTCGAAGCTGGCCATCTCGATAGCCCCAACACTATACAAAGGATCTGAAGAGCAAAAGGCAAGACTGGAAAGCAGAGGACAATTTCCAGGAAACTAGCCATGGACAGTCTGAATCCAGAGACAGGAAGAGGCAGAAGAAAGAGAAACAAGAAGCAGAGAGGAGAGAAGCAGAAAATGAACACACATAGACGGTCTGAATCCAGAGAGAGGAAGAGGCAGAAGAAAGAGAAACAAGAAGCAGAGAGGAGAGAAGCAGAAAATGAACACACATAGACATCAGTGGCTAAAGAAGGTACAAAAAGTTTCAAGAAAGATGGGAGCATCTCTGTTGTAGGAAACTCTACATTCTAATGTTGATGGTTTACACATTTTTAAGAGCCTCAAGCCTCACTGTGGCTTGTTCATTTAAAAGCCTCCTGCTTTGTTCAAAATACTACTTATCTTTGGCATTGTCCACAGCTCTGCTCTGGGAGAGATTAATTAAGTGATAGGTCAGACACAATAAGGTGAAAGGGCATATCCACCCAATCAGGACTGATTCATCCATTTCTAGGTGGATCAACTTTTTTGAGGGATGCCAATTTTTATTCCATTTCCCGGGGGATTTATCAGTAGGGATGCCTGAGCTCCTCTGTTGAGGGGCACTTAGCTGGAAAAGATTGCTTTGCAGATAGAAAAATCTAAATCTGCACTGTCTTTTTAAGACATGGAAACAAAACATAACTATCAATTGTCTGTATGCTTAAGTTTTACCAGACTTGGAGAAGGATGCTTCTTGAATATGATCCTCTTACAAAATAGCCAATTGGATAGTTGCAAATAGGACTGCCATGCAACACAATGAAAAAATTAAAAGTTCGCTTTCTCTCCTCCCGCTTCGCACTGTTTCTCATTGCCCCTTCCTTTCAAGTTCACTTTTAATTTCTAGAAGGTAAAATGAGAGAAAGACAGAAAAATGAGGAAGGGAGGAGGACAGAGGGAATGAAAAAGAAAAAGAGAGATTTTCAAGGTGTCATGGCTGAATTTTTCTGAACCAGTTAGAGGTTATCTCTAAATCTTCATCCTTCACTCCCTCCACAACTTCCTAAATAGATCTTTCGATTAGTGAGAAATTAGTTAATTGGGAAAGGCCATGTGGTCGGTTCACCCTGTTCCTAACCAGAAGGGTTTCAGGGATCTTAGACCCCACTCTCAGAAACGGCACCCTCCCCCATCTCTACAGAAGCAGGCAGTCTGGGTCAAAACTGTGGTTGCAAAATTATGATGTGTGTGTGTGTAAGAGAGAGAGCGAGAGAGAGTGAGGAGAGCGAGTGAGAGTGAGAGTGAGAGAGGGAGAGGGAGAGGGAGAGGGAGAGGGAGAGGGAGAGGGAGAGGGAGAGGAAGTAAACTCTCAGCCTGTGAACAAGGCTAGGCTCAGGTAAAGTGACTGTTATTGTCAGACCCCAAACAAAACACTTGAAATATTTTTACTCTAGAATACTTTTGCAAATAAACTTCACATTTTTTCAAGTTTTATTTTTGGGGGGGGGAGGTTGGTGT